TGCTGGGTGTGCAGTGCTGGGCACCGCTGCAGCCCCTGAGCAGCACCCATGCTCCTGCTGGGTGTGCAGTGCTGGGCACTGCTGCAGCCCCTGAGTGTGTTCCTCTCTGCATGTCTGCTACCCCAGCAAGGCTGCCCCAGCAGATGTTTTCATGCCAGATGCCACCATCCCCACTTGCTGACCACCACTGGCAGAGCCCCAAGCACTCCTCAAGGACACAGAGCTGGATCTCACCACGCCTGGCACCAGAGCCATCCCAAACCCTCCTCACGCACTTCTCAGGATTCTTGTGCCCCTGTTGCTTGTTGGCTCAGAGCCCCAGCCATGGGCCCTGTGCTCACCGTGCTGGGCCTCGCTTTCCTCAGGACCAGGCCATTTGTGTCCCGGTGTGAGTGCTGGTGCGAGTGCAGGTGCCTCACCTGTGAGCAAACCTGCCCAGCTGGCAGCACATTGCTGTGAGCCCCGGGTGGGGTCTCCCCTGCCCTGTCCTGCCCTGCCCTGTCCTGCCCTGCCCTGCCCAAGGATCAGCCCTGCCCTGCCCTGCCCTGCCCTGCACGGTGCCAGCGGGTCTGAGGCAGCTTCTGCACCAGGAAAGGGCCTCTGGAACCCCCAGAGCACGATGAAATCACAAATGATAACAGCTGGATTATCCTGGATCGTGTCGCTCCAGGATAGCCAGTGAGCCAGCACCAGTGCTATGCTGGAAAGGTAAGTGATGACAAACTGGGTACTCGAGTTTGGATAAATGACTAATTATAATTTCTAGATCTAACTATCAACAGTAAATTCTTAAATACCCACCGAAGACAAGCGAACCTCTGTGCCTTCCTTGTGTTTGATGTGCTAAGCATAAATATTCAGCTCAGTCTCTCAAGAAAACATGAGGTTTTACACAAGAACAACTCTCCCAGATGAGCAGGATTTATAGCTCCAAAATGGTCTGGTTTCATCATTTGTGAAAGCTTTAACCTTTCAAGCATTTCCAAACCTATTTTAGCATGCAGGGAGTAGTGATGCAGAGACATTAACATTAAAACTTTGTGTGTCTCCAGTGAATATTCTTACAACAAGGAGCATAATGTATCTTTTTGTTTATTTCCTTTTCTAATATTTCAATGCTGTTTGCTTCCACGAAGGAAAAAAAGAATAGTTTTATAAAATTAACAAATATTGCAAAGCTTTAGATACCAATTAAGATGAGTAATTTAATGTGTAGATATCAGTGCATGGCAACTCTGCGCCTTGCCTGTCTGTTCACCAGCTCGTGCTGGAAACTTGAGGCAGAATTGCTGAAGCATTTCACACTGCCTTGAAGGGCTTTTTAATGGATTTTCAGATTTCTTTTCAGTCTTAAGATGATCCTGTTAATGCCTGGAGAAACCAACCAACCAACCTAAAGCAAGCAAGAGCAGAAGGAATAAATCATCGCATCCTTGGTAACTTAATGTCACATGCATGGGTCAGGTGTTTATCTCGGTTTCCATCCTCACAAGCTGCAGACATCCCAAATACTGAGCTCCCCCCTTGAGTGCTCCCTGTCTGTGACTCCTTGGGCTGTGGAGCATCTGCCAGCTCCACCAAGGGAGTGTGGCACAGGATCACCTCCTCCTGACCTGCCCCTGCTCCCGAGCTGTCACTGCTCCTGAGCTGTCACTGACCCTGAGCTGTCACTGACCCTGAGCTGTCACTGTCCCTGAGCTGTCACTGCTCCTGAGCTGTCACTGCTCCTGAGTGTCACTGCTCCTGAGCTGTCACTGCCCCTGAGCTGTCACTGCTCTGGAGCTGTCACTGCCCCTGAGCTGTCACTGCCCCTGAGCTGTCACTGCTCTGGAGCTGTCACTGCTCTGGAGCTGTCATTGCCCCTGAGCTGTCACTGCTCTGGAGCTGTCACTGCTCCTGAGCTGTCACTGCTCCTGAGCTGTCACTGTCCCTGAGCTGTCAGTGCTCTGGAGCTGTCACTGCCCCTGAGCTGTCACTGACCCTGAGCTGTCACTGTCCCTGAGCTGTCACTGCCCCTGAGCTGTCACTACTCTGGAGCTGTCACTGTCCCTGAGCTGTCACTGCCCCTGAGCTGTCACTGCTCTGGAGCTGTCACTGTCCCTGAGCTGTCACTGCCCCTGAGCTGTCACTGCTCTGGAGCTGTCACTGCCCCTGAGCTGTCACTGTCCCTGAGTTGTCACTGCTCCTGAGCTGTCACTGCTCTGGAGCTGTCACTGCTCCTGAGCTGTCATTGCTCTGGAGCTGTCACTGCTCCTGAGCTGTCACTGTCCCTGAGCTGTCACTGCCCCTGAGCTGTCATTGCCCCTGAGCTGTCACTGTCCCTGAGCTGTCACTGCTCTGGAGCTGTCACTGCCCCTGAGCTGTCACTGCCCCTGAGCTGTCACTGCCCCTGAGCTGTCCCTTCTCCTGAGCTGTCACTGCTCCTGAGCTGTCCCTTCTCCTGAGCTGTCACTGCTCTGGAGCTGTCACTGCTCTGGAGCTGTCACTGCTCTGGAGCTGTCACTGCTCCTGAGCTGTCCCTTCTCCTGAGCTGTCACTGCTCTGGAGCTGTCACTGCTCCTGATCTGTCACTGCTCCTGAGCTGTCACTGCTCTGGAGCTGTCCCTTCTCCTGAGCTGTCACTGCTCCTGAGCTGTCACTGCTCTGGAGCTGTCACTGCCCCTGAGCTGTCACTGCTCCTGATCTGTCACTGCTCCTGAGCTGTCACTGCTTTGGAGCTGTCACTGCTCTGGAGCTGTCCCTTCTCCTGAGCTGTCACTGCCCTCACTGCAGGGCATGCCCAGAGCTGTGTCCAGCCTCACTCCACGTGCCAGGGCAGCCAGCCTGGAGGCTCCGTGCCTGGGAAGGGTCACTGCCATGGAGCTGCCCCAGGTGCCAGTCCCATGTGGGAATGTGGCCGGGCAGGGGGAGGTACACAGAGCCAAGGGAATCCCAGGTCTGGGGAAAGAAGAGGACTGAAATGGATGGGAAGGATGGCATTTCCCTGGAGATCCTTGGGTTTGCACAGCTGGGCTCGGGAATCCACATGTAGGTCGCATGTCTGGGAGCTCAGGAAGTGACTCTGGCTCCTGCCTTTAGCTGATGTGGTCTCGTACAGGATTTCTGCATGCGAAACCTTGAAAACAAAACTGGAGAAACATCTCTCTGAATATGTAAGTAACAATAATGCCTTCCATCAATAAGAGGCACTTTCTAAATTCCTGTCCCTGCTGCTGAGGTGACCATCTCAGTACTGCCTTTAGGCTGCCAGAAGCTCTGGGGGATGAGTACAAGAGTGGAGCACAGGGCTTTGCCTGCAATACCTCGGGCGGCTCTAACTGCGTTTCTCTTTTCTAAATCAGTCTCTGTTTTGTGGGAGGGGAAGCCTGGTATAAAAACTGCTCAATCTCAGACATCTGCTGCACTTGGGAATTATCTGTATCTGTCACTGTCACCCTGATGGGGCCAGTGACACCAGCACAAACTGGCAGCCATGGGCAGAGCAGATCCAGCATCATGCAGGTGTATTTCCTGTTGTCAACTAAACACCCTGGCTTCTCAGCCCTGTGGTGCCTCTGGGTCCTCTGGATGGCTGAGGTGCCTTTGCAAAAAGAAGAGCTGTGGCCTTGCTGTGGATTTCTCAGTCTGAGACAGGTCAGCAGGACTGAGCTGGGCAGGCACCTGCTCGGGGAGCCAGGTGAGCTTGGGCCTGAGGCCAGCCTGGGTTTTCCCACTGGAATATCTTTGAAAATGCTTCTTACCTTCCCTTTGCCTGGATCCAGGCAGTCCTGGGCGTTTCTCGTCAGTGCTGGGGGAGCAGCTGGGCTGGGGGATCTCAGAGGGCCCTTCCAGCCCGAGCAGTCCGTGGCTCTGTGAGCTGGCACCCTGAGCTGCAGGAGCAGCGCTGAGTGGAGAAGCAGTCTGAGCTTTGCACCATGCAGTGCCCGAATCCCTCCTGGCCTGGAGGCAGAGTATCAAATGACTCTTTGGGCTCCTGATCCCAGCTGGAAAAATGTGTTGGTAAAAGGCGTTGGGGTTGGGCATAGAGTCTGACTAGAGATGCTGCTCCCCTTAGCAGTGATTGTTGAACCAGTGTCAGGGGCTGAGACTGCAGACACAGTGCTGCTCCTCTCACTGTATTCCAGCTCTGTGGCCAAAGCAGAGAGCTGTTCATTCCTGCTGGCACAGGGAGATTTCTCAGGCACTGACACTCTG